CGCTAGTGTCCTTGAGTAATGTATATGCTTTCCTTTATCTCTTTAGTGAGCTTTAGGGGGAGAATAATGGGACGGGCTCCCAATACCTCAATCTGGTAGGGAAGATCCCTAAAAAGTTAGCCCTACAATGGTTCCTAAGGGTCTGATTAGTTCTGCGTCCGGATCCTTATCTGATATTTCCCCTATTTCAGGGGCGCACACTTAACTTGTGTGTAGTATAGAATTTTTGTCAGTCATAGCTGGACTGCGTAATCAACTTTTGAGGGTCAGGAATTCTCTGTGGACATGTCCTCCCAGGAGGTATCTCGGGTCCAGGGCTGTCTCAGACACACAAGACTTACTAGCAGTGGTGGTATGCACTAACCTGAAGTTACTGCTGCCAGAATCTGCTTTCCCTAAAATCACTGGTTTTGAGTCCTGGTGGCCACCAAAAGAATTTAAAGTCCTTTCCAGTGCACACTTGCTTGCAGGAAGTCATGTAAGATTGATTCCCTTTTTTGTCATCCTATGATTCCAATAGGTGCACCAGCTTCTTTCCACTATTGCTAAGTGGCTCAAACACATGGTCTCACACATCAGTTTCCAGCCTTTCCTGTCAGAGTGTACTACATCTGGCAGTGCCGCTTGGCTTTGCAGCATCAAACGGTTTCCCAGATTTCCAAGGCTGCCCCCTGGTTCTCAAGACCTGCAAATTCGACTAGGGGGTTGTTCAGGCTTTATTTGATACAGACTTTGGTTGTGAGGTCTTTCAGGTGGCTTTTTGAGCTGCTTCCCAAGTTGTCTGTTTTCTTGGGCCTTTTGGCAGTGTTTGCGAAGTCCAATACTGAAGGGTGGGCAACACAGCAAAGGGAGAATTACTTTTCAATGAGCAAGAAAGAAAATGGGATTTCTACACTCATTGAGAGACACAGGAAATCATTCACCTTCAGGACATGCCACCACCTGTTAAGAGATCAGTACAGCTTGCTGCAAAACAGAGAAATGCTGGCAGTAGGAGGGGATTATCATGGACTTGCCTACAGGTTGTTTTGTTTTTTGTATGGTTTTTGCTTTTTTTTTTTTTTTTTTTTTTTTTTTGCCAAAGCTCTAGTTGGCAGCATAACCCCAAAGATGAATGCTTTCTTGTGTTCCTCCCTGGACTCCAAGAAAATAATTTTTGCAGGGAGCACAAAACTTCTGGTATAGTGTGAATACATCTTAGCGACCTTGTAAAGTTGTTTCCTTGGTTAGTGACTAGCTATGTTTTTTTTAATGATAGCAGGAAGTTTTTTTACTGCAGTAAAAATGGGTTTTCCTTCTGCTTGCAAATTTCAGAATATACAGTGAGCTGCATATACTCAACTCGGTGTACATGCCTGTTTCAATGTACATCTGCTTGCCTCCAGCTTCTTTGTAGTTTCTTCCTGACTGCATGCACTTTCTCCAGTGGTAGCTTTTTTCAGGTTACAATAGTGGAACATATCTGCACATTGTGTGTTAACATGGTAATTTGTCTTCATCTGGAGCACATCTGACAGGGTGACAATGCAAGAGCACATACAGGAATGGCATCCTGAAACCAGGTCCTCCAATGCCAGGAATGTTTTTAATTAAAAGCTGAAACATGTTAAAACCTAAATTGTATTGATTGAGTTTACATCAGTTTTCAGTACTTTGAGTCATTAACCTGGAACAGCCAGTCAATATTAGAACTCCTGGGTCAGTATATCAAAGAAGCCATTGGATTTGCAGGACAACCTAGCAAAAGCTTATTTAGTTATTTAAGAATGTCTTCAGCAATGGAACCCTTCAGACTAACTGTAGAGTAAATTATACTGCAAAGCCTGATCCTGGGGACCACGGTAACCTGAAAGCCTGCTACATAGTTTGTTTGTTTTTTTTTTTTTTTTTCCCCCAAACCGCAGAGGCACTTTAAGACTCATCTCTAGTTTTGCACCTACCTGGCTCACCAGCTGTTGCTCTGTTAAATGTGTGGAAACTCAGAACTCACTAATTCTCTGATATTCCATGTGAGAATGAGTGCTCTGTGCCCCTATGAGACCTCCAGTATCTTGCCCATTACTCTCAATTAACCTGCACACCATTATTTTAGGTTTGTGTGAGGTAATTGAGCTCTTGATGGGATTACATTACAAAATGAGGACTGCGTTTCACAAAACATTGTAATATAATAAAGGGGGCAGAGTTATATATCAATTATATCTACCAAACTGTGCCCCCCTGCTATAACTCCCATGTGCTGGCACAAAAGCCTTTATTTTATAACATGCTTACTAGTTATGTGGATCCCACTGCTCTCTTGTTAAGTCTCTGGAAAACAAAGTGCTTCTCAACTACACATTAAATGCGAACAATCTGGGCTCTTACTTGTTTTATGTGATGTATAATTTTTGCAGGTTCAAATTCATTTTCTAATCTCTTTGTGAAGCTGATTATTGAATATTTGCAGCATGAGTATAATGTTAACTGTGCAATCTGGCATCCTGAAGAGCTGCAGAAATATAATTCCCCTATTAACATTTGACCTATTTAAAGATTTACATTGAGAGTGGCATGAAGCTATATAATAATGTGAGCCACTTTTAAAGTACAGGCTGCATTTTATGTTGCTGTTTATTGCCAGTGTTAATGGGGCAGAAATAATAAAGTGGAGCTACAGACCAAACTTTTTTTATTTCATAGGATATCTATACTGAGATAAATATGTAGACTACTTAATTGTACACCTGGCATGATATACTTGGCTGGCATTGCTGAGCATGCTTGTTGCTTGGCTGTTTTGCTGACATACTATAAACCAAATATGTCGCGCTCCCAACACAAATCATACAGTGATAAACCAATTCCCACAACACAACTAAGTATAAAATAAATGTGCCACCTAATTGATAATGTTTTAAACTTATGTTAATATAACACGACAGTCCCAAAAAAAATATTTAGGTGATATGATCCAAAAGATAAAATTATTAACGTCTCTACTAATCAATAAATATGTGATAGTCCCAAAATAAAATATTAGTGTGATCCAAGACGATATTTGTGACTTTCTGTGAATCCTTATTATGGTTAAGTTGTGCGCTCACCTCCTTATAAGTCTAGTAGATAGGCTTATTACGCTTTTTGTTCACAAATGGAACCTGATATGATTTGTTGCACCATAAAATGGGTGGTGGGTATCTCCTAAGTGCTTCTCAGCACTCCTCTCCTCGTGTGCTTGATATCTCTGCAAGGATCTCTCCCTCCTTCTGCTGCTGTAAATCTCCTCCTCAATCCTCTCCTAGATATTCCTCCGAAACATATAGCAAGGAAAGAAATATGGACATAGTGCTTTATCCTTTAAAAAAAAGTAAACCTTTATTAAGGTGCCCAAATATTGCACTCACATTAGATAAAAACATAAAGCGCTTTTAAGATACAACAATCTCTGTCTGTGTGCGCCACACAGCGTGTATACTCGCCGTTGTCCTCGGGTGCAGAGTGACGTAGCCCCTCCCGAAGGAGGGGCTATGACATCACTCTGCACCCGATCTGTGTGCAGCGCGCGCACACAATCTGTCAGTGTGCGCCGCACAGCGTGTATACTCGTCGTTGTCCTCGAGTGCAGAGTGACATCGTAGCCCCTCCCCAAGAGGAGGGGCTACAACGTCACTGCACCCGAGGACAAGGGCAAGTATGCACGCTGTGCGGCGCACACAGACAGATTGTTGTATCTTAAAAAGCGCTTTATGTTTTTAAGGTCACAAATATCGTCTTGGATCACACTAATATTTTATTTTGGGACTGTCACATATTTATTGATTAGTAGAGACATTTATAATTTTATCTTTTGGATCATATCACCTAAATATTTTTCTTGAGTTTATAACATATTGATTATCAATTAGGTGGCACATATTTATTTTATAATTAGTTGTGTTGTGGGAATTGGTTTATCACTGTATGATTTGTGTTGGGAGCGTGACATATTTGGTTTATAGATTTTCATATACACATTATATGAGAATGTGATTTATGTCAGCGATCCAGTTAATATCTTACTAGTGGCTCACAAGTTATCAACAAATGCACTTGCTGACATACTGTCTTCAGTACTTTAGTCATTGACCTACAACAAGTATGCGGAGCTGGAAAGCTAGAATAAATATTCCAGATCAGAGCACCAAAGCCAGAGGTTAACCATGGGAGCGAGTCAACTAGAATTTTCTTAGAGTAGTAGGGCCGAAGTTTGTGTGTTTTTGTTTTTTTTTTTTTTTCTTTTGCCCTACTTCTCCTGTAGGTCACAAGAGTGCAATTGGTTCTGCACTCCTGTGACCCATATTCTACCGACAGTGGCCTAAAGTCCGGAGTCTGCTGATGGTACCCGGCAGGTCTAGACTCTAGAGAGATCCCGATGTTTGATGCCTGACCGGCAGCTGGCTGAGCCTTTCAGTGCGTCACTGACAGCCTGAGCCGGTCACTCCTGCCCCACCATAGCCCAACGCTCCATTGAGTGCTGGAGGGGCTCAGCAGAGAACCAGTTACTGACAGTCGCCACTCTGCTCAGTGAAGACCAAGAACTGAGCGATTTTAGCAGTCTTTGTTCACTCGGTGTAGAGGCTGCGGGGAACAGATGCGGCATCGAATAGATGTTGTATCTAACCTAGGTGAGTATAAATGTTTGTTTTTTTGTTTTCAAAACCCGACTTTCTCTTTTTTTAAGGTCAGACTACAAGTTTACTTTATATTTACTATCATTAAACTGAAGTGTGTGCTCATCCAGAGCTCTGACTTCAATGAGTTCATGTTTGTTTTGGGCCACTAATTTAGTCAGCCAAGCAACTAGTATTTTAGGTTTCCTATATTGCAAATTTAGTGGCTTTTCAATTAGGTACTGCATTCTTTTCAGAATACGAACAACATTTTTTAAGATACGAGCAAAAGTCTGCACGTCATTTAAAAATATTCTGTTGTAATTATGTTGAGACTTCTTAATGCTTTCATTTATTTTTCTTATACAGGATGAATCTCGTATCAAAGCCACAGCTATGGATGTAAAACCAGTTGATCACAAGGAATACTCTAGGCGCCTTATAATGAACATCCGGAAACTAGCTGCTCAGGGAGTCTGACATACCACCTTTGGAAACCTGTCCGATCAAGAAGAGACATTCTTCCTACGTGTACAATGTAAAACTAGTAATAGAGCTGAAGAAGTTCCTTCAAGATGCATAAAGTTTCCCATTGGTCCTGTCATCAAAACATTTTCTATAATCTGTTAAGCTCCTTGAAAATGCTATGGTTTATTTCTTGATGGCTGCAGCTGTTTTTAGAACATCATTGCAGGTTGTGCTTATTTATCAGGCTAATACTACTGGAGGTATGAGGTAGCAAGGCACTTATGTGACCTTGATACCTTCCCCTACATCTACTGTACATATGTTTATCTGATTATAATTAAAATGTGCAGAACTAAGCTTTCCTTCTCTTATGCGAATTCATTTGAAAGCTTAATTACATTAAAACAGGACTTAATTAGCATTCTCAGAAGTAATTGGTTGCTGCTGAGAAGTCAGATGCCCACCCACAACTATGTTCTTACATCCTGAATAGTTCCATAAGCCGGTGGCTAATCAGGGGCTTCCTCTCCCCATGTGAAGACCAAGAGCTTATTGCTGTCACTGAGCGCCTCTGTTTTCAGTGAGGAGATGTGCCATACAGTTTGCAAATGCTTGGAATGACAATATGGAGGAATTATTAATCAAAGACCTATCTTTTCTATCTGAAGACTTTCCTTCGGGGTTTAATAGACTGAGTCAGATGGTCCTGATATTAATCAAAATTGTCTCTTCTGAGAAGCTCTGATAAGCATTGACTCTCTGGCCCCTGGGGAAATCTGGCCAACTACAAAGCTTTGCTTTATTTTTCATTTAAATTAATATTGTGCTTTCTTACTCGCCTTTTTTTTCCGACAGTGTGTAATTGCAGAAGTTTGCTGTTTGTACATTCACAGCATTTCTCAGTGTTTTCAGTTGCTTTGTGTATTTTATCCCCTTTTTGTAATGGAATTAATCAGCACTGTTATGTAGGAGAAAATGTTCCTTATTTTTGGAGCTCAATAAAGTTTAGGGGTTTTTTTTTTTTTCTTTGCATGTGTTTTTTTTTTTGTTTTTGTTTTTCTCTCTATAAACCAGTTTCATCTGGAAATCAATCCATTTTCTCAGAAGGTGCTGCAAAGATGAGGCTTGTGAAGCTGACATTTTCCAGTCTTATTACCATTTGCTTCTCTATGATATGATTCTCAGCTTCCACTGTCTTTAAAGAGCTGAGGCAGCACCTTTTTTATGCTTTTATTGACATGTGCACAGCCCTCCTGAAACCAAGCAGGAGTTAGCATTTGCTTTTGAAAACCATAATTCTGCTAGCGGGATGTTTCAGTAGTGGTTAGCTCTTTGGAGTGCGTGAGGCTTGATTATTTTCACTGCATTTCTCATCCCTCTGCAAGCTTATTTGGCCTTGGCCAGTGTTTGTGTAAGTGAAGACTTTCCTGAAGGTTGTAGTGGTGAAAGCATGAGGTGTGTGGACTTGCTGCCTGCTGGAAAGATGAGCGTTTGCAGGTTTCTGTAGCAAGGAGGTTTTTGATTTTTTTATTCTTGAGTGAAGGGACAGAGTTACTTTACTTAAAGGAGAAGTACAGCCAAAGCTCTTTTGGCTATACTTCTCCCATGGATCACAGGAGTGCAGTTGTTCTGCACTCCTGTGACCCATTTTCAGCTGACAACTGCATCCACCTAGGTAAGTATATTTTTCTATATTTTCAATATGTTGATCACAGAACTGTATCAGTGTCCCCAGAAATGCAGTGTTAGCAGGATCATCCCCGTTCGCTGCCAGCACTAGCGTTTAGCCCCAATGCTCCCCCCCACCCCCTAACAAGAAGTGCAATGTCAGTATAATTTCTGATCACTGTCATCTGTAATACATTTCACACAAAACCTCAGTGTTCACAGAATCAGGACTGATCTCTGTTAGGACTTGCAAGAACATTTTTTTGTAGCGGTTCAAGCAGTCTGACAGCCACGTGCTCTTTTTCCCAAGAGTCGCATTAGGTACCTGTAAATTTAGAGTCCAAAATGTCCAACGAAAGGTACACTAGTGAAGAGGCCTACAGGATTCTGAGCATGTCAGGTGAGAACGAAGGGGAAGACTCCCTAACATAATTGGCCTCAGAATAGGAACCTGTAGATAGCAGTGGCACCCTGGCAGGTAGATCAGATGATGAACAGGTCCCTGTTAAAATCAGGCATACCCGACCCCATGCAGCTGAAGTGCTAGGAGCGCAAGACTTGTCTCATATGCAGCAGAGTGCCAGTACTAGTGCTGCACTACCTTTTGGTGAACGGGCGAGCACCAGTGCCCTAGTCTATCCTGGTCCTTTTTTTTTTTTTTTTTTTTTAATCAGCACTACAGTATCACTTGGTGATGGGGTGAGTCCCATAGGTGCAGTACAAGCTGGTGCGGTGCAAGCACAAGTAGTGTCCTGCAGCCACCAAGTATTCACACACAGCCCTTTAGAGCCCCTAGTGTCCTGGATGTGCTTGCAAATCCTGATTGGTAGCCCACAGATTCTGCAGCACCCGTACTTCCCCCATTCACTGCCCATCCTGGAATTCAGGTGGAAACAGCAAACTTAACGCCCCTTAATTTTATGGAGCTGTGTTTCACAGAAGATTTGTACAATTTGACTGTGGACCATGGAAATTTATATACTCAACAATATATTGCCGCAATGTATAAGCTCTGTGAGAGGGCCACAGGCTATATGTACAAATGTAGGGTTTATGAGGGAAGAGACAGCAAAGTAGAATCCCTCTGACTGCCCAGACTACAGTGGCAAGATAGCTTGGAACTTGGTGTTGTGTTTGTTTTCCGTAAGGGGTGCCACTTATACGTGGACAATTTGTAAACAAGCGTGCCACTATTTAGACATTTGTACAATCTTGGAATTGGCTCATATGGCACTGTGCGACCTAATCTCTGGGGCTTCCCCAAACGACTTGTAAATACCCAACTTGGGGAGAAAGTCTGCTTGAGGAATGATTAATTGCTCGCAGTGAAGTGGAAGGACAAACTGGATGGTTTTTGTCCTGTCTTCCATTCGCGCAGATGCGACAGTCCAAATTAAGACGTTATCTGGCGTTGAGAAACTCCTCTGTGTCCACGACTATAACCTTAACATGGGGAGGGGGGGCGGTCTTCAACAACCAAAAGATGAATCTATACCTAGTTTCCTGGAAAGCTTGACACTGGTACAAAAAGATGTCTATTTATTTCAATTGGCTATATATAACACTTGTAATTTTACAAAGCAACTGGACAAAGTGTATCCTTCTTAAAATTCTAGGAAGAGATCATCTTGGCACTTTTGTATCCAGAAGGTGCTGTGGCCCAATCCTCAAATCCACACACTTTTTCTGGCAGAGATATCTTATTTCATTCAGCTCACAGGCTGCATAAAATAAAAAAAAAAAAAAAAAAAAAACATAGCATATACACCCAACAAGGACCAGTGATGTACTGGTATATCACTGGACTTTGAGTGGTTATACCAGGATGATGCCTGCAGCTGTTTTTTTCCAGCTGGCGATTGGCTTTTCTGTAAAAGCAATCCTAGTGGCCAATTAGCTGCAGGATTGTTTTTACATGCCCTTGCTGCCTTCCACGGCCTTCTGGGGGCAGTCCCATGCTGTCTGGGGATCCTGAGAATGTAGCCAGAGTTTCTGCCAGCTGACCGTAGAGCTGATTAGCACCATTCCAGTCTCCAATCATCTCTATAGTCTTAAGAAATCAGAAGCTATGAGTATTTCATCATTTGAGTTTCGCAGAATATAAACCGCCATTTGTAAAGTGGGAAAACATCTGATCACACCAATCTTGGTGAGATTTTAAAATGTAAGGGCAGAGGAGATATCTATAGTCTGATAGACCCCAGATTTCTCAAAGAATATGACAATGCCCATTGGAGTTATAGGGGATATTTGCATAGTCCCTGTGATAGCATTAAAAGTGATAAAAAAAAAAAAGGACAGTGTAAAAAAAAAAAAAAAAAATTAACAAAGAAAAAAAAAAAACAAACCCCTGACCCCCCCCCCCCTCCATGCTCACCTGCGTGTGTTGACCCTGTGCCAGTATGTAAACAGCGGTTGCACCATGCATGTGAGATATCACCATGAATGTCAGATAAAGGGCAGTAATTCTAGCACTAGAACTCCTCTGTAAATCTAAAATAGTATCTTGTAAAGGCTTTTAAAGTGTTGCCTGTGGATATTAAAGATGTATGCAGTTTGTTGCCATTGCACTGGGCATGTGCAGTTTTTTTTTGTTTACAAATGTTTTTATTTTGTCAAATATACTACAAAATGGCAGTACAACATCAAGTAAGAGATACAACAGGAACAAGGCACGTCTGTAAAGCATATTTCAAATGGTACAACCATGCAAAGTAAAAAAAAGAAAGAGAAAAGAAATTAAGTACATGAGCAATATAGGTAGAAGGGTATGCAGAACTATATAGCTACCAAAAAATAAATAAATAAATAAATAATACAACCAAAATATGAGTGGATCTCAGTCAGATAGTAAATGCTCGTGAGTTCTCCAGCTTTCCCATTTACTGTCAAATAAGTGCATCTTATCCAATAAGGTGTAATGAATTTTCTCCATGAGCATCACTGCATCAACTCTATGCAGAACTGTGGCCAATGGTACCGTGAGGGTTTTCTAATGTAGGGCTATAGCCCATAGGGCAGATATACAGATGGTATGGATTAGTCTCATAATCTCAGTCCGAACATTTGGAATATAGGCTCCTAGTAGGCAAGACTGCATAGATAGATGCACTGGGGCCTCTGCCACAGCAGAGGCCACATCCGAGACTTTGCGCCATACCAATGAGAGGCCTGGGCAGTCCCAAAATATATGCACTAAGGTACCAGCAAGGCCGCAGCCCTGGAAGCAAAGGTGGGATGTCCCTGGAAACATGATATGTAATCTAATGGGGTATAATACCATCTGGTTAATATTTTGAGGGCAGTTTCCCAGACAGAAAGAGAGCTAGAGCTCTTACATATAT